TCCCTACAGTAACAGCAACTGTTACGTTAACAAAGATATTTTGCTAAAATAATATCCACAAACAACCCAAATTTTCTACTAATGTGACATTTCTACACAGCATTTTCTTACCTTTTTGTAACTCATAACATCACTCAGCGTGTTCGTTGGACGACTTTTATTACCGTGATATAAAAAACGTTTTTATAGTCTCTTTTCTTTTTGACAATCTTTATTGATCATATATATTTAGGATTTATTTCTTTTTTATATCGCCTGTAAAAAATCCGCACGAGAAAATATTAATACTTTAGGGTAATAACACCGAACGAGGGTTTTCGCCGATACTTCATCTAATCTAAATTAAATTAAGTGTAAATTGATAAACATTTATATATATATATATATATATATATATATATAAATATATATATATATATATATATATATATATATATATATATATAATATATAGTTTGTACGTTGAAAGCTACATTTTAATATTATTGTAAAATGTACGGAGTGTCCCAATTAATTGCGGCATATAAAAGTTATATTTTTTATTGGGATACCCTATATTTTATTATATTTTCTGATTTTCCGTAAGAAATAAGAAATAGTTTCATAAGAATTTCCTATACCTAGGTAGAGACCTTTTGTTATGTCTACTTTTCTTAAAATGCAAAGTCTTAAAAGAAGACTGATTCTCAGCTTATGTAAGCAAATAAACCAAATCGTCTGTTATGTCTAAATACCTGGACTTTTTTTGTTAATCTATTATATGATTGAGTATTAAACACCTTTTTAGAGGGTGTTCAAAATTTACAGTTTCCTTATCGGATTATTCAATATTTGATATGTGGCTTATTTTAAAAGGAACACCTTCTTCTTCTTCTTCAAGTTCCGCTTCTATCGGAGATTGGAAATCATTCTAGCAATTATAATTTTGTTGGTTACGGGCTTGAATAGTTCAATTGAACTGCATCCAAACCCTTCACGGAGATTGCGTAGCCACGAGATTTTACGTCTTCCTACGCTTCTTCTGCCTTTGATTTGACCCTGAATTATATTCCTTAGTAGTTCGTATTTTTCACCTCTCATGATGTGCCCCAAGTATTCAAATTTCCTGATTTTAATGGATGGATTTCCTGATCGAATTTAAAACTCGCATTGTTTTCCTCGTTATTCGAGAACTTATTCGTTTGTTTTGCGATCCATCGATATTTTTAAAATACGTCGGCAACACCACATTTCAAATGCTTCTAGATTTTTAATGTTTTAAGATTTTTTAAGTGTCCAAGCTTCAACGCCATACAAAAGAGTAGAGAAAATATAACATCGAAGAGTTCTTACCCGAAACGATATATTGATATCCCGATTACAAAAAAGTTTTCTTATTGTATTAAAAGTTGACCGTGCAATTTCAATGCGGCATCTTATTTCTTTTGTCTGATCAGTATCTTCTGTGTTACATGCTCCAAGTTATTTCTACGAAGATATTTGTTCAATTTCTATACTATCTAGTACTAGCTTAACTTTGATATTGTGTGCTTTGGAAAAACCATGAACATGGTTTTCTTCAAATTTATTTTTAATCTAGTGTTCTAGTGTTCCTGCCAGAAGGACGGTGTTGTCAGCATATCATATGTTATTAGGTGGCTCATTGTTTATTATAAGGCCCTCACTGACCTCGGTAAGGGCTTATTCTATGATGGCTTCACTTTATAAATTGAATAACAAGGGTGACAAATACACCCTTGGTGAACCAAACGGCGAATCTGGATATCTTTTTTGCTGTTTTATTCCAATAAACGTTACATATGATTCTAATGTCTCTACTGTCTATGTTTTTATTTAATAAAATTTCTTTAAGCCAATTATGCTGCACTCTGTCAAATGCGTTCTTAAAATCAATGAAACAGGCATAAACTTCCTGATTTATATCTAAGCATCTCTGCGAAAGAATACTTACTGCATACAGTGCATGTCAGGTTCCAAGTCCTTTCCTAAACCCCATTTGTGTATTACTTATGCTTTATCTAATTTCTTATGTATTCTATTGTGAATTACTTTTAAAAACAATTTAAAGACATGAGTCATTAAGGCTATGGTGCGATGTTCATTCATTCCTTTGCATTGGCTTTTTTGGGACGCAGTATGAATGTTGATTTCAGCCATTCTTTAGATGTTATACCTGTTCCATATATGGTACTGAATAGATCCAAAAGAAGATCAATAGATTTAGTATTCACAATTTTAAATAATTCAATAGGAACTTTATCAGGCCCGGGAGATTTACCACCCTTAGCTTGTTTCGTTGCATATTTAATTTCTTCTCGTATAATGTCAGGTCCAGTATCATCCTTAAATTCTTTTGGTGCTTCTGTTCTCTCCTTGTCTTCAAAAAGTTGTGCTATATATTGTGTCCATCTCTGCATTTTTTGGTTTATATCTGTTATAAGTGCACCACTTTTATCTCTTAGTTGCCCAGTCTGAAGTGTTTTTCTCATTACTGTTAATTCTCCAAATCTTTTATGCATTTTAAAAAAGACATATTTTTTTCAATTTCTTCTTGTTCTCGGCACTGCTCATGTAACATTCTCTCCTTAGCTTCTTTTATTCTCTTTTTAATTATTTGATCAGTTTCATTAAATTCAATTGGATTTTTTGTTTTGCACGATTTTCTTTCATTCATTAATAGTAGTATTTCTTTAGTGATCCAGTCCTTATGTTTTCTTTTCTTTAGTTTTAAGTTTTTATTTGCTGCTTTACTTATTGCTACTTCTATATTTTCCCATTTCTGATCAATATTATTGCTACTTTTATTTAGTTCTTGGGCATTACGTAGATTTTCAGTAAGAGTTTTTACAGTTTGTTCCTTTGTTTGTGGTTCCCTTAATCTCTTAATATCAATTTTATTTTGTGTGGGTTTTTTAACCAGTTTTAATTTAGTTCGTAACGTGACTACTATGGGGTTATGGTTTGAACCGATGTCTGCTCTAGAGTAAGTTTTGACAGACAGTATAGAATTACGAAATCTTTGTCTAATGAGGACAAAGTCAATTTGATTTCAGATTATTACATTCGTTCTATCACCGGGAGATTTCTATCTATACAATTTTCTTTTTGGTAGCACAAATTCTTCCGTCTGGCAAAATCGTATCAAACGGTCACCACTTATATTTTTCTATTTCCTAGACCATATTCCTCCACGTATCCATCTACTCTTCTCTGGCCAACTTTGGCATTGAAGTCGCCCATTACTATTGTAGTGTGATTTTTCTTCATTGATTTTAAGATTTGTTTCAAATCATGGTAAAATAGTTTGATATCGTCATCTTTATCTGCCGTAGGAGCATAAACATGAATAAAATTTACTATACCTTTTTTAGACTGAATTTGTATTGGTAAGATCTTATCATAATAAGCAGTAAAACTTCTTAGAGTAATGGACCTTTTTTGCAACTAAAATAGCAACACCATAGCGACGATTGACCTCGTTGTTACTTGAATAATACATAGTTCCATTATTTGTAATTTTTTTGCCTGAACCTGGCCTCTGTACGTCACTTATACCTAAAACATCAATTTGGGGGTTTTCTATTTCAAGCAGTACGTTCGCTAATTTACCACTTGCGTATAGACTTCTGACATTCCAGGTTGCTATTTTCAATGTCTTAAGTGCAAAGGGATTTCTCTGGTTTACGACATTTGAAACACTGTGATCTACAGTTATTCCTCCCCTGCCGGATCTTGGATTCCGTGCTCCATAAACAGTAAATTTGTTTACTCTACTTGTCATTTGCCATTCATGACTTTACTAGGGGTACTCTATAAGTCTTTAATGCAGTAGTTCTCCGTTGCCTTCTGCATCTTTACGCCGTTGACCTATTTTGCGATGTAACCGCCTTTAGGACCAGTTTCCCAACCCTTGGACAAAAGAGTGCCCTTCCACTTATTAACTCATTTTCCCGCCCGTTGGTCATAAGTGGAGGATTGCTTATATCGGCAATTATTCCGTGAATTACCTGTTGGTCCACGGGAGGTATTTTATTTCCCTCCTACCCACCAAATAAACCGGCTCGGATATTCCCCTATCCGCCACCTGGGGACGCGCTGTCTAGAGGTTACAGGTTTCTCAGAGAGGAACACCATGTATATTAACAATTTTTTCTTTATATAATGGTATAGGATAGGATCATGTACTATACCTAGATGTCATAGTTTTGATTATCATAGATGCATGTACTGAAAAATTAGCATCAGAGGTAACACACTTATACCCAATACGAGGACCTTGAAGTAGGTATGAACCTTTTTCATTTATAGTGGTTCATACTGGGAAAGAAACTGACTGGTTTCTCATGGACGAAAGTTTAAAAGATATCTCAGAAGTATCCTGGACAAGTTTTAATACGTCAAAGTTATCACATCCCATGGACGTTCCATGCCATTACTGGAAAAACAACATAAATACAAATAACTTTAATACCAAATAAAGCGAAAAATAAAATAAGTCAACCACAGTTTTGCGAATGAATATCTTAAGAATCCTCTTAATAAAGAATTTTATCTAATCCGTGGTGGTGAATAGACATCATCGATTTTGGTTATGTCTACGAGGATATTATATGTCCAGTTTCCAATATATTTTGATGAGTTTCTACCAATTTTGGTTTAAAATATTAAGAAAAATATATCAACTTGTACAATTATTTTGATATTTACCCTTTCAATGAATATCTTAGTAAAAGTAACATTTGACATACATTGAAGCTGCGCAGTTTCTATCGATTTGCCAAAATTTTAATTTTTGATTAAGTGATGCTTTTTAAATAAACGCTATAAATTAATTTTATTTTTTTTCCTATACTTGATCCTTAATAAGAAAATTTCAATTGATTAAAGAAAAAAAATATTTATGTTTAATTTTCAAATTATTTACGATAGGCTAAACCCCTTCGAGGGAGTGTTAAAACTTTTACAACTGAAAACTTTCTCAAGGAAGACTTTTCTCAGTTTTATAAGTTCTACAACAATTTTAATTTTTATAGAAACATGAATTAGCCATTACTGGTGAAAAGAGAAACTGTACTTAAAGGATCAGATACAAAACATTGGTGAAGTTAAAAGTTTCGTCATTATACAGTTACCAGCCAAATATCATGATTAAACTTTTTAGAAACAGCTATGTTCCCTTCTGCTATACAACCAAAGTTTAAAAACTAATATAATGAATTTAATTTTTCTACTTCGGAGTATGTTGTATAATAGAGCACATAAAACTTAAATTTTTTAGTTTTTGTGAATTTAATAAGATTCATAGAATCTTATTAAATTTAGTTCCAAATGTGATGAACCTTGGACTGTTGGAAGTTTGATCATCCTTCCCCTGTGGCTGGCTAACCAGTCACAACGTAGACTATTAACATATGATTTTTTGGATTGACTTCTCTTGTTTGTTCCTTATTTCATCTCAGCTGATCATTGGAGGAAAAAAGGAGTTCTAGACCACCTTTTCCTTTCAGTTTTTTGGTTTTTACAGACAGTTTGTCGACCAAATTTTGTCATATTTTTTAAATAAACCGCTCTATTGTACTGGAGTTGGTAGTAATACGCCTTGTTATTCTGTCGCTCGTTGACCTCTTGGCATCTGTCTTTTCACGTTGTTGACGTTTAACACCTGTTGCCTTCATTTCACCGGCAGCACTCGACAAGCTCTCAGTGGTAACTTCAGTATTACTTTTAAATTACAAAATATTTAGTTAAACATTAGAATAATGCTGCCTAAAGTTAAAATGAAATCTTATTTATTGAATTACTGTTGGAACTGCATTCTTGGGCCTTTTAGTTCTTTTCCACACTAAATTTGTTTTTTATATATGACAAGTTTTTACCTATGTTTTTTTACATACATGTACAACTACCACATGTTTTTTTGCTGTGCTAATTTTATGAAAATTGTTAACTATATTTAGTTCAATTTATTGTTTATACAACATAATTATACAATGTTCATTGTCTTAAACTTTTTTACAATTGTTAATATCACTGACTGCTACATATCTTTTTGAGGTAACACACTTAATAACTTTTCATTGGATGTTAGGTTTTTCATATTGTTCTTAATGCTATCAAATTGGATAGCGAAACGTTTTCAATAAATAGATGAAGTAGCCATTATCTTTGTCTTTTTTCTACAATTTTTGACCGAAAAACCCGCTACTCTTCGAGTGATCCTTATTTTATATATATATATATATATATATATATATATATATATATATATATATATATATATAAGTTATGATTTTTGAGGATGCAGTCAGTTTATTTGGCCCACAAGACAAAGAAAACTCTTTGACTTACTGTCAAGCTTTCGAATTTTATTTAATTCTTTTTCAAGACATCTATAAAAAGAAATATAAATTAACTAGTTGAAATTGTTAATTGTCTTACGTACTAGTCGTGAGATTACAGTTTTTAATATTGTACTCTACAAAACAAACCTTAATAAATATAACAAAAATTTTTTTATTAAAAATAACTATATTGTCACTATACATGTCATTGTCATGGTTTGATTAATGGACATATATGAATGAAAATACAGTTACTTTATGTGGAAAGCAAAACCAGTAACAATAGTTTTTATTATAATTTATCTAATTGTCTATAAAAAATATAAATTAATCCAGTCAGCAGTTTGGCTTAAGCACATATGAATTTTTAATGTTAATATGTAACAATAAATGTTACTCAATTTGTCAATATCTGATCTTCTATTTACACATTTTCTATTTACACATGTATAGTGACAATATAGTTATTTTTAATAAAAAAATTTTTGTTATATTTATTAAGGTATGTTTTGTAGAGTACAATATTAAAAACTGTAATCTCACGACTAGTAAGTAAGACAATTAACAATTTTAACTAGTTAATTTATATTTCTTTTTATAGATGTCTTGAAAAAGAATTAAATAAAATTCGAAAGCTTGACAGTAAGTCAAAGAGTTTTCTTTGTCTTGTGGGCCAAATAAACTGACTGCATCCTCAAAAATCATAACTTATATTTAAATCAACAGTCAAGAATACCACCATCTTATATATATATATATATATATATATATATATTATATATATTATATATATTATATATATATATATATATTATATATATATTATATATATATATATATATATATATATATATATATATATTTATATATATATATATATATATATATATATATATATATATATATACGAGCCGTTTCTTAGATGAAATATATTTACGTTAGGGAGCACAACACAAATAAATATAACCCATTTACCTATTTTAAATACACGCCTGATATTGATTTTATCAGAGCGTAACATACTAATAAATGCCTCTGAAACATCTACATTTACTAAAAGCAAAGACCTTTTGGAAAAAATTTCAACTCTTGTATTAGCAAAATTACCTTTTCAGCTCGTTTTGATCTTTAAAACATAGTAGGGTGGAAAGTAAAGCTAGCAGCCCATTATGTGTATGTGTACATACAAAGAAAACAGACTTAAAACGAGAGTCAAAGACTTAAAATGGCTTATTTACAGGCAAATGTGCTTTCACGTTAACAATAACGATTTAAAAAAATATCGTTTACTTGTTTATTAGTTAAAATGAACAAATATTATATATAAACTTTAATAAATTTTAAGAAAATAATTTAAAAACCAGTTATCATAACGGGATTGAAATTATTATGTGGTAGAGATAATGAAAAAAATGTTTCGGTTTCATTAGCGACAATTGAATAGCAAAAGTAAGTTCAGAACTTGAAACAATACCACAAATGAGTCTGCTAAAAACATTTTAAATAATGATCCCCAAAGACCATTTTTAAATGCATCCGTATCGTATATTTTTCTTCTTATTTCTAGGTTTGGTACTTTATCTCTGAGGCTAATACCTAACCTTGATCTTTCCATAGCGTGTTGTGTAACTCTTATTTTATTTATTATTCTTTTTATTAGAGTTGGTGATTCTGCCAACATATCTGAGAATAGGTAGAACATATTGGTTAAAAACTTATTTTCTTAAATATACTGGAAGCAATCCATGTAAGATCTATTTTATATTTTAGTTATGTTACCCTCATTTCTCTCATGACTCTTTGTCATTTTAATTGAATCTCATACCCTATATATTTATAAGCTGTTACTTGTCGAGGCTATAAACTTTAATTTAAATTTTGGCCCTTAGTAAAAGGTTGATAAATGAGATCCTGAAACTAATGGGTGAGAGAAGAGAAGCCAAAAATGACCCAGATAAATATAAATTCATAAATATATTAATAAAAACTAAACCCAGAGAACCAAAAAAAAGAAGCAAGGGAAAGATGCGAAAAAATTGAGACTCTGTAGTGAAAGTACAATAGTCACAATGTACATAGGAAAGTTAAAGAACTCAAAGGGGGACTAAGATGAAGGCAGAAAGAAAATATATCTGATTCTGACGGAAACATCATCTTTGATAAACAGAGTAAAATAAGAACGTGAAACGAATATCTAGAAAAAATATTTGAAGACCAAAGAGATAATACCTTTGAGCTAGAAGAAGGAGTAAATAATGGACCAAAAATATTACAAGTTTATTCCGCAATAACGCAGTTAAAGGATGGCAAAGCAGCAGGCCCTGATAATATACAACCAGAACTACTGAAACTAATGGACAAAGAATCAATAGCAATAATGGCAAAAATATTTAAAAACATATACAACTCTGGACAAATACCAACAGAATGAATGAAATCTTAGTTTATTGCACTTCAAAAACAAAAAATGGGCCAAAAAATGCGAAGACTCCCATACCTCATGAGTCGTCTCCTAAAATAATTGTTCCTAAAGATAATTCCTAAGAGAATCTACAAGCTGTTTGAAAGTTAAATTGCCCCCAATCAGTTCGGGTTGACAAATGCTATTGATACTAGAGAGGGCTTGTTCTCAGTACAAGTCTTATTCCACAGATGCAGAAAGCGTTTGATCGAGTACAGTACACCAAGATAAAAGTACACACGCAAATACTAAATCAAGCAGGAATTAACAACCAAGATTTAAAAATAATTAGAAATCTTTACTGGAATCAGACAGTAAATCTCAGAATTGAAGGTGAACACACTTCTTCTTCTTCTTCTGGTAGCACTACAACCCGGGTTGGTCTTGGCTGACTGCACAACCTGCTTCCATCTCGAACAGTCGTCCATGATGTTTAAGTCAGTGGATAGCGGATTGTTCTCAAATCTGACCATATATTATCTCTCCATCGCATTAGTGGACGTCCTAAGGGCCTTCTCCCTGTCGGATCTTCTTTTCCAGATTAACTTGGTAAGGCGGTTATTAGGGAGCCTATGAACATGGCCAGCCCATCTTAGACGTTGGGATTTAATCTCTTGGACTACGTGGCTAGCACTATACATTTGTTTGACCTATGTGAACACACTGATTATGTGAAAATCATGCGTGGAGTGAGGCAAGGCTGTATTTTATCTCCTTTAATCTTTAATCTGTACTCTGAAAGAATATTTATCGAAGCTTTACGCAAAACTGAAAAAGGAATTCTACTAAATGGTTATTGGCTAAACAATATGGGATGACACCATATTATTTGCGGACAACTTAGAAGACCTATAAGTTCTTATAAACAAAATTACGTATGACAGTCAACAATATGGACTCAATATAAACGTTAAGAAGATAAAGCTTATGATAATTAGCAAGAAAAGGATATCAGAAAGTCAGCTCTAAATCAACCAATCCCATGTAGAAATAGTGAAGCACTACATTTACCTCGGCACAATAATAAATGAAGAACGGACCAACAACCAGGAGACTAGAGCACACATCGGAAAAGCTAGATCCACCTTCAATCAGATAGGGACCTTATTCAAGAATCACAACCTCTCTCTTGATACAAACGTAAGAAAGGTGAGATGCTACGTCTTCTCTGTCCTTTTTTTTATGGTGTTGAATCGTGGACCTTGAACGAAGATATGTGCAAAAAACTGAAAGCATTTGAGATGTGGCTATATTGGAGAATACTTAAGATCGAGTCATAAATAAGAAGGTCCTCAGAAAAATGAATAAGAAGAAAGAAGTACTGATCACCATCAAATCTCGAAAGTTAGCGTTCTTTAGACATATAATGCGAAATGAATCCAGATATGCTCTCCTTCAAGCCATCCTGCAAGGAAAAATGTTTAAAAAACGAGGTCCAGGAAGAAGACGAACATCTTGGTTAAAGAACCTTAGAATCTGGTTTAATACAAAATCTGTGATGAAGCAGAAATGGAATTCCATATCCGGAAACGACATTCTTAAACAGGTCCTCAACAACTGTGATTGCTTCTTGATTGGGCAGTGCAACTACTTCTGGTCATTTGGACAATAGTCCAAAATAAGTATCAAATACTTGTTTTTTGATGTTTTTACTGGAAATGATCCCAGAATGTCAACAGCAGCTCGTGTCTATGGAGTCTTGTATTGTTGAAGTTTTCCCCTGTCTCATTTGGGATCCCTTCATGGATGCGCAAGGTCACATCGTTTGTCCATTCTTTGTCCCAATAATACTTCTCACGGACCCTGGTCAGGGTCCTCATCATCATCAGTGGCGTTACAGCTCTTTATGAGCCAAAGCCTTCTTCAGAACAATCCTCCATTCGCCCCTGTCTCTCTAATCCTCTAATTCCGATAGACTTCAAATCATTTTCTATGTTGTCTTGGTACCTAAGTCTCGGTTTTCCTCTTCTTCGTTGTCCGATCGGCCCTCTTCGGTCAAAATCTTTTCTGACTATGGCATCTTCCTCTCGTCTGATTACATGACCTATCCATCTGAGGCGTGCTACCTTAATGAATTTTACAACGCTGGTCAGGGTCCTATTGATCCCCAAATGCCCCACAAAGCGACTATCATTAAATTATGTAAGCATATCCTTAACACGTGACCTTGGAAAAACAACTTGGGGTACGGTTGTAGTTCATCTGAACTCTCCCATTTACGAGTAATGACGTTTTCTGGCAGACACAAGGAGTAACTGTAGCTAGTAGCCCTTCACTGTTTGTCCATATTTGTCAATTTTGTTTTGTGGTCTAGTTACGCTGTCCAGTTACTTAAGGACTATCTTTAGCTCTAGATATTTTTCTGCTCACGGTCTATTATTTATTGTCTATTGTCAATTGTTTATTGCTTATTGTCTAAAGTTTAATGTTATTGTTCAGTTTAACTATTTTTTAAATTGGTTCTTCTTTTTCTCTAATATATTAGAAACTATTAACTTAAGTTAAAAGTATTTTTATGCTTAAGTTAAAGGTATATTTTTGCTAATTTTTTCTTCGTTGATATTGTGTTAAATTAGTGTTATACAGTTGATTTGTAAAATGTGATTATCTCGAAAGCGGTTAAGTTTTGAACTTTACAAGTATATCCTTAGTCTTAATTAACAACATACGCATATGTAGCGCCCCCTATCAGCTACATTAAAGTATGCACAAAATTATAATTTATCATACTTATAAGCCCCTCCTAGTTATAACATTTTATATAAAAATCTCCAAGAACATGAAAGTTATAAAAATAAAATTTTAAATTTTAACTTTAACACCCTGTATCTCTTTTAATATCATAATTTTATTGATATAAAACCCAAGTTGGCTTAAACCATAATATTTTAAAGCGAAGAATTTACTGTTTGTTTTTCTTTCACACTTACTTAAGGACCACCCTGTATACTTAATTACATTAAAAAATAAAGGTGTTGTATACTAGTAAAAGCAAAACTTACCATTTACGTTGAGTTCCGTAGCAGCTTTGCTATCCCTAGTGTTCATGGCGGTGTTAAATTCTGTAATGGTGGTTCCGTATGAAGCAGCAGAGCCAGAACTCGTACTTCTTCTCCCATTAACCTGTCCCACTGTCGTTAACTCTCCATCGGAAGGATGTAAGTAGTGATCGCCGTACCGATCCCTATACGAAGTTCTATGCTGATGTATGGAGTTTAAAATAATATTGGAAGAAGTTCTTGTTAGTGCTTTCCTTTGCCTAACAGCTTCTTTATATATCCTGCAGTACATGGTTACCATGACTATTCCAGGAATCCAAAAGCTTATAGAACTACTTATTACTGCATAATATTTATTAGTTATAAAGCTACAATTATTAGGATGAGTCAACCGGTATTCCTGATGTTCGTTTGTAGTATACCACCCGAGGAATATGGGTGTGAAGCTCATAAGAGCCGGTAGCACCCAAACATTGGCTAGCATAAACGATACTGTTTTGTGCGTCATAGTAATTGGGTATTCTAGAGGCCTTACTATAGCGTAATATCTATCAACGCTAATGCAACAGAGATGAAGTATACTGGCTGTGGAAAAGTAAACATCTAGACTGTTATATACATCGCACATGAAGTATCCAAATAACCATTTACCGTTGGTTAATTCAACGCTTGCATTAAAAGTCATAGCGCATAGTGCTACTAACATATCTGCCATAGCAAGACTTACTACGTAGTAGTTAGTAATAACCCTGAGCTTGCGATGCCTATGAACACTAATTATCACTAAAGCGTTGCCCAATACAGCACTTATTATTATTATAAAGAATATACCTCCTTTGACAAAAAGGAGAACCAAATCCAGCCAATCCGGATTATGGTTTTCGAGTGTGGTTATATTAGTTTTATTTTGAATAGTAGTGTTTTGTAATATGCTAGGCAGATTCGTAGATATTGTTGCTGAATATGAAGCCATAGCATTTACTATCATTGTGTTTTCATTGGTTTGGCTCGTACGGTTTAACACATCTTGGATAAAGCCTCTAGCTATTATGGTGATTTGATTTGAAGTTTTTGTTTAAGCAGCGAATTGGAGCACTCCATATTCATCTGAAACAAAAAATATCATGTAATACATCAGGTAAAGGTTAATATATTATTAACTAAACATTTTATTTACTACATGCACCAAAATTGGTGTTGAATAACGTTTAGTACAAAATATCTTTAAGACAAAAGGTATTCATGATGGTCAGGATACTGAGAAGACTAAGTGATTTTCTATTTTTTTATTCTTTTCTCTAATTGTATTCTGTCACACATGCCTACCATTTATGGAGCAATAGAGATTGATTTTAAAGATACATTGACTCTTTTAGTCTTTAGAAACTCACTTTCTTTGAAATTATTTAGAATTAGATATTTAAGTAAATAAGTTACCTATTAAGTTTACACATTTTAGCCTAGCGTTGCCATGAGGCAACGCGAATCAGGTATCTATACAAATATTTCTAGTGTATAAAATTTTTCTTTTGGAACATAGTTAGCGCTGTAGGTCGCTTCAGTGAAATTATCAGAACAGGTGTTTTCTGATCTAGTTATTCATTGTGACTTTACAACTAATGTCTAGAGAGCCGCGTAATGTAGGTTGTCTATTATATAATTAAATTGGGGAAATTACTGACTAAGATAGATAATGAAAATTCGTTTTTGGAAGAAAAATAATTATTAACATCTATTTTAGTAAAAAAAGATTTTCTGATGTCATTTATAAGTAAGGAATTTTCCAGAATAAAGGAAATGGAAAAAAATAACAGAAAGGAATCCTGCTATATTCGCACGATAAAATTCGAGGAAAATAACAATACCATTTATAATATAAAAGAATTATAGAAATACTACGTTCGACGTCATGCTTATGTCTGTCAGTAATTTCCCCGATTCAAATTCATAATAACCAACCTATATTACACGTCTTTAGTGTAGTGGTTCACGCTCTAGACATTTGTGACTTTACATGCTGGTAAGAGGCGTTTGTAGATAGAGAATTAATCTGGTTAAATGTAAAAGGGACATTTAGTTCGAGTTAGTAATATTATTTCGTTAAGTTAAATTTTGTTCGCATAATTTCGTAGCAAATATTAAGCAGATGAAACTTTAGTAATATTGTAAAATTTATAAAATTAATGTTTGATATGCATTCATAGTACTCTCAGTGTTGCCATATGGCAACGTTAATTTGTTCAGACGTAACTTTGAAGAAACCTCTCATAGTAAGATATGTACATGTAGATAATATATTTATTGAACCTCCTGAGCCTAATATTCTAACAGATGCAGAGTCGGGAGTCGAAGATAATTTTGATATAAATCGATTACCAGGACGGCAATTATCTGCAAACGCTGAAGTTGTATTTCACAATGAGCAAGGAATAGGTGGGGTTATTGGAATTAATAATGGGGTCAACAAAGAAGATAAGTCGTGTACTACGACGAGCATTAAGTTAGACAAAAATTTTTCTTGGATATCTGGAGATTTAGAGGTTCGACCAAAACATAATAAAATGATAATTTTTGATAGTAAACATGAACTGTATAAAGTCCAAATAAATTATTTAAACTTCTTTTTGATAAGAGTGTGATAAATTTGTTGCTAGAGGAATTAATTAGATATGCTTATGACAAGTTCATGTTAAAGCATATAGATGAAAGCAGTTTATTTGACGTAAACTGATTTGACTCGGATGTAAAATGTGGTCCGTAAATGCTACTTTAGAGTACTTACTCAATGTTGATATATATCAAGGTAACGATTAAATTTGAAGGTGAAAAAATAAATTTTTGGAAAAAGCACTGCCCCTTTTATCTCTATGCTGAAAGAAATTTAAAAAAACAACTTTTAATTTAATTTCTATTGATAACCTATTTACCAGCATGAGTTTATTGAAATATTTCGGATATAAAAAATACTATCTTGCCGAAACCATCAGACAAAAATAGAGTTCCGAGAACCTCTTACGTCTTTAAAAGTTCTACTAAAACAGGATTTAAAGGAGTTAATTTTCTTTTATTGAAAGAAATTATGGCATTATATTTACAAGGTGGTTGGAAAAAATGCTGTGGTAATTGCTTCGAATGCCTATGGGGTATAACGACTTCGTCTCAAGCAAAAAGATGTTCTTTTCTGATCTCCGCAAGTACAAAGCCGACCACAAACATATTCAAGTACCAAGACGTTTTGCCATTAATCGGTATGTCGGGTGGAACTGACTAAATGGACGGAGACTTCAGTCGATATAGGATAAATATATTTGGGATGATATTTACATTGCTGGTTGATGTATCGATTGTAAATGCTTAGAATATTTATCGACCATATGTGAGTACAAATGTATGTCATAACGGAATTCGAACGTGAAATTTGAAATCTATCTCGATATGGAACTACGCCTCAAGTGGTTGGAAGACCAGCTACATCAAAAAATTGTGTTTCCGTAAACAGAATTAGTAATGATTTGAGGTAAGATAAAAGAGATTGTCTTATTACACCCATTTCAGGGAACAAAAAAAAAGAGATATGCACGTTCGTCAATTATTCGTACAATGTGCAAGAAATGTAATGTTGGGTTATGTTTGGAGTGTAACTTTATATTTCATCAAACAATCATAAGAAACAAACCTGCATAAATGTTGTTAACATTCATGTGTAGTAATTTTTTGAAATACTCTCTTCTTCTTCTTCTTCAGGTTCCTTCTCCTATCGGAGGTTGGAAATGATCATCGCTATTTTAATTTTATTTGGTGGCGCTTCTAAATACTTCTAATGAGCTGCAACCGAACCACTCTCTTAAATTTCCTAGCCAGGATATTGTGCGTCATCCTGGGTTTCTCTTTCCTTGTATCTTCCCTTGCATAATTAACCTAAGTAACACGTACTTCTCGCCCCTCATTTTATGACTCAGATGTTGAAACTCTCTAATTTTAACAGTTTTTATGACTTCACATTCTTTCTTCATTCTTTGTAACACCTCTATATTAGTTACTTTTTCAATCCACGATATTTTCTGCATTCTCCTGTAGCACAATATCTCAAAGAAGTTTAATTTTTTGATTTCAGACTGTTTCCTTGTCCATGCTTCCATGCCGTTTTTGATACCGATTCAATATAATTTGTAGATCTCTACTATCTATGTTTTTGGTCTTAAGAATAATTAAAAGCTTTTCATGTTGAACTCTGTCAAAAGCTTTTTTAAAATCTATGAAGCAGGCATAATGTATGTCCTGATTCATATCCAGACATCGTTGTGTCAGAACATTCACTCCGAATAATGCTTCTCTAGTTCCTAGACCTTTTCTAAAACGCATCTGTGAATCACTTATTTCATGTGGATTCTGTTATGTATGATTTTAAGGAAAGTTTTCAATGTGCGGCTCATTAATGCAATTGTCCGATAATCATTGCAATCTTTAGCATTTGTGATTTTTGGAATCGTTACAAAAGTTGAGAGAAGCCATTATTTGGGTATGTGACCCGTCTGGTATATGAAGTTGATAAAGTCTTCCCAGACATCAATATTATCTTCATCAATTATCTTCAATTGGTATATTATCAGGTCCTGGAGCTTTTCTAGCTTTTGTGTGTTTTACGGCATAAATAACTTCCTCTTTTTTTATTTCTGATCCCGTGGTTTCTCCGTCAACTTCTTTTTGTTCTACTTTTTGATCATAAAATAGGTATTTAATACATTCTTTTCATCTACGTAATTTGTCTTTCGTTTCAGTTATAGTGGCACCATGTGCGTTTGTTAATATCCCGATTAGTTTGTTTTCTTTAACCTTCTTATGGGTGTTGAAAGTGTCATATCTTGCCTCACATTCCTCAATTTTTTGACATTTAATGGACATCCATGTTTCCTTAGCTTGTTTTATTTGTTTATTAATTTCTTGATATTTAATTTTCTCTCTCATACTGAAATATTTTTATAATGACCTAACATGCATTGTTGAAAAAAACTACAAAACTTTTTTTGGAAATAATACATATTTTTTTGTTTTAATTTAGCTTATTGGGGATTGCCTTTAGCAAAAAATCGACAATTTCGGGAAAAAATTTATTCGAGCTCTAACAAGTTAATACAGATTTATGGAATAAAATTAGAGTTCGTAATAATGATCTAAATTACAGTAGTAGAAAATAAAACAAAAGTTATAGCCAAATATTCGAAAAAATTTGGTTTAGGGAATGTTTTTATACAGACATTTTTATTTATAGGCTTGTTTATTACAAATGTAAGGTACAAACGTGAAGTCCTTGTTTTTGTACAGCTGTGTTTTCAATATTTCTCTCTTATTTGAATTTACGCCATAATGATTTTAGCAAATAATTACATTCCTGCTTTTTAAGTAAATAATATATAACGGGAATATTTGATAATTGGAACGCATAACGATAATGGTGTTTTAGTATAAACTGAAATAATGAAAAGCAAGCATGTTTTGTTCACTTTAGAGCATATTTGAAACAGTTCATGTCATTTTGTAATTACATGTATATTATAATATTAGCAATAGTGATTTTCGATAAGTTTTATATGGATGTTAAACAAATAGTCCTGTTAAAATTGTAATATAAATATATACCGCTCTCTGACTTCACTATAGACTTCGTTTTATAACCCCGAAATCGCAAACTTTTTAGGAGAGTAAAAACAAAATTTTATGTAAGCTTTTCATTTTTTTTTCTCCAGAACTACAGTATCTAAGTTAACCAAATTCTGCACCCATGTTGCTGCATCATCATCATCCAGCCTCAAGAGTCCACTGCTGAACATAGGCCTTTTCCTCGTGTTTTCAACCCCGTCTATCTTGCGCCGCTCTTATCCAGTTTTTATTGAGTCTTCTCAAATCGTCAGTCCATCTTGTAAGTAGTCGACCGACGCTTCCCTTGTCTTCCCTTGGCCTCCATTCCAATAACCT